TGCCTCTCTCTCTCTCTCTCTGTATCTCTCATGAATAAATAAAAATAATAAAAAAAAATCTTTAAAAAAAAAGAATAACTTTATAATAAAGAAACCTAATAAACACTACCTCAGTCCATTGATTGAGGTCACTATCAACGGTCGTAAGTCATAGTATACCCCCCTTGTGATAAAAATGGCATTTTACCTCTGTAGCCTTCCTTCCACCGCCCCCATCCCCTGCCCACAACCCTACAGCCTTTGTCTATAATAAGAAAAATAACAAGTTCCAAGGCACCTGGGTGGCTCAATCAGTTGAACATCTGCCTTTAGTTCAGATCCTGGGATTGAGCCCCACATCAGGCTCCCTGTTTAGTGGAGAGTTTGCTTCTCCCTCTCCTCCTGGCTCATGCTCATTCTCTCAAAAAAATAAAATCTTAAAAACACTGAAAAAAAAATATCGAGTTCCAACAGATGGCATCCTACAATGTACCTAATCAGTACTCAAAATTATCAAGGTCATCAAAAAACTAGAGTCTGTGAAATTGTCACAGTCAAGAGGAGCCAAAGAAAACATGATGACTAAATGTGATGTGGTATTCTGAAGATTTTTTTTTTTAAAAAGGCACTATTTAAAAGGTGAGGAAATACAAATAAAGTATGGACTTTAATTGTAAAAATGTATCATAAGTTGTTCATAGGGGACAACAGGTGTCCACTTTATGAGAACTCTGTATTATGTGCATAGTTTTCCTGTAAACTTAAAACTGTTCTAAAAAATAAAACTTAAAATATTTATACAAAACCAATAAATATTGGCAGCTCAATCTATTTACAGAGAAAACAGGATGGTTTGTGGGCATGCATAGGTGAATGGGGTTTTTGGTTATTAGTGATGTGGGCAACATTAGGATTCATCTCAAAATTCTACTTGGGAGTCCTAGATAGTTCTTCAGCAAATCTGGCTATGGTTGTTCATTCAGACACAGCGTGATAAATCATAATGAATCTACTTAGCTTAGCCTTCCTTATCGCCCAGCTTAACGTGAGGCACCCTGAGAAATGCAGAAGACAGAAGACCTTTCCTTCAGAGCTCACAGTCCATTCCTGAAGACACTTGAATACACATGTACACACACAGTGTGTGATTGTAGCATCTGCCTTGGGTAACTGCTTCCCATATGATCTCCCTCCCATTCAAACCTGGGTCCCCAGGCCCTTGATGGGGCCAGAAGCAGACACTGTGATATTACCTGGCCAACTATGTTCTCATTTATAGGAATTAATTTCCACTAGACATTTGGACTGGAAATTATTATAGCCACCTTGGTTGCTACTGATCTTCTGATTTCTAGTCCTAGTTCCTCCTGAAGTCCAACTATGCTTCCTACACTTGAGTTCCATCAGATATTCATAACTGACTCATAACAAATAGGTTCCCTTCCACCTATATTAGCTTATATAGGTTTACCTTATTCTATGAAAAAAAAAATAATTGAGGTGCCTTGGTGGCTCAGTCCATAAAGCATCTGACTCTTGAACTGAGCTCAGGTCTTGACCTTAGGGTTGTGAGTTCAAGTCTGACATTGGGCTCCATAGTGGGCATGGAGCCTACCTTAAAAAAAGGAATAAAAAGAGAGGCATGTAGGTGGCTGTTGATGAGGCATCTGATTTTGGCTCCAGTCGTGATCTTGGGGTCCTGGGATTGAGTGGGGCTCCACTCAGCAGGGAGTCTGCTTCTCCTTCTCTCTCTGCTCCTCCCCCTGCTGGTGCTCTAATAAATAAATGGAATCTTTGGGGGGGGGGAATCTGTGTATCTTTTTAAAATGAATAATATTTCTTCTTTCCAAAGATATTTAGCACAGAACAAAAGGTGAGTTTCTGGCCTATGATAACTAGGGTATACTTGGGAGAGGCCGAATCCTTACAGACATTACCAAGGCAGGCATTTACGGTTAGATGGATCGCAGAGGCCATAGTGGTCAGTATATGGGTCTCAGAAACCAAATTTGAACGAGCTTAAGACAAAAAAACAAATTTACTGACTCATATGTGAAAGGTCCAGAGGTAGAATGTAGCCTTAAATGAAAGCCAACAAAGATGTTCAAACAGAACTCCACTAGTTTACATGGATGGTCCAGATCATAAACAAATTGGCTCTATTTCTTCCAAACATTTTCTAGGACAGACTAAAGGGTACATTTTTATACCACGATACTTTAAAGTGAAAAGAAGCATAGCTGAGGTGTTAGCTTATAAAACACAAGGCAAAGTGGTTCAATGAAGGGCAGGGCAGGGGTTAGGATAAGACTTAAGGAAAAACTCAAGAGATTCTTTAAAGGATTCAGGGGGAAAAGGGGGGTCAGATTGGGAGTTTGGAAAGCTTATGCTCCTGTGCTGTTCAGGGTGTAGCTTCCCATTTCTTTATTTGTTCTTTCTTGAGTAGTTGTGTCTGGGGGCAGATTTGTGAGAAGCTTCATTTTTACTGTGGACACCATCCTGTTGCTCTGTAAGGTAACACAACTTCCCCTTTCTGAAAAACTCAGATGAGGAAGCTAGGTAAAACAAAACAAAACAAAACAAAACACCAAAACAACAACAACAACAAAAACAAAGGTAATCTTCACTAAGGAAAAGTGAAATTCAAGCACCTGGGTTTCTTTGTGTTTCTCTTTCCCAGGCCATGTGGTTTTAAAGTGAATATCAGTGTTTCAGTGACAGAGATGAGGACCAGGAGCAAACAAGAGGAAATGGCTTTGAGACTGGCACCAATAAAAAAATGCCATATCACACCCATTACAAACAGCATTTGTTATTTACTTTATGTTGTGCTTCTTTTAATCATACATAAACTTGAATCATCCTTTCATGGTGTAACAATCTCAAAACCTGGAAATGACAATGTCCAAACCATAAGGTACTGGCATAAAGTACAGGATTTCCACTGCTCAGATGTCCACATGATTTGTAGAGATAGGTTCCAAAGAGACTAAGTTCCAGCCAACCAATTACCAATTCTCATTTAAAAAATATAAATTTAGGGATGCCTGGGTGGCTCAGCAGTTGAGCATCTGCCTTTGGCTCAGGGTGTGATCTCGGAGTCCCAGGATCGAGTCCCATATTGGGTTCTCTGCATGGAGCCTGCTTTTCCTCCCTCTTCCTATGTCTCTGCCTCTCTCTGTGTGTCTCTCATGAATAAATAAATAAACCTTAAAAAAATAAATATAAATAAATAAATATGAATTTAGAGGCACCTGGATGGCTCAGTTGGTTGGGCATCTGACTCTTGGTTTTGATATTTTTTTATTTTTAATTTTTTTAAAGATTTAATTTATTCATGAGACACAGAGAGAGAGAGAGAGAGAGAGAGAGAGAGGCAGAGACACAGGCAGAGGGAGAAGCAGGCTCCACGCAGGGAGGCCAACGCAGGACTCAATCCTGGGACTCCAGGATCACGCCCTGGGCCAAAGGCAGGTGCTAAACACCTGAGCCACCCAGGGATCCCCGAAGCTTGGTTTTTATATGAGAACCATCAGTAGAGGAAATAGAGAGTCTAGGGCTAGATTTGGATCTAAACTCTATCTCATCTTAGCTATGTGGCCTCAGGCAAGTTGTTGGTAAAATTTAGATACCTCCATCTACTGTGTAAGGATACTTATAAAGGTAAGGATCAGATATGTTATCAAAGGTACTGCATGGCACATAGCAGGTGGCACATAAATAATAAATAGTATTATAGCTGTATCCTCATGTTTCATCTGAAAGCAAGTCTAGTCTTTTCTGGATGCATTATAAAAGAATTAAGTTTTTTAGGAGCACCCGGCTGGCTCAGTTGGTGGAACATGCAACTGTTGGTCTTGGGGTTGTGAATTCAAGCCCCACATTGGGTGTAGAGATTACTTTTTAAAGTCTTTAAAAATGGGATCCCTGGGTGGCGCAGCAGTTTAGCGCCTGCCTTTGGCCCAGGGCGCGATCCTGGAGACCCAGGATCAAGTCCCACATCGGGCTCCCGGTGCATGGAGCCTGCTTCTCTCTCTGCCTATGTCTCTGCCTCTCTCTCTCTCTCTCTCTCTGTGACTATAATAAAGAAATAAAAATTTTAAAAAAAGTCTTTAAAAATTAATTTTTTTAAATGCTGAATATATGTGATTAAGTTGACTTGTCCTTTCAATACAAGGACTGGTACCGGTATCTTTTAAATAAATTAATGTTAGGTTACCAAAAATATCTGCAATTACCAACAGTTTAGTAGACTGTGTGGGTATTTCTTACCTTAAATTTACATAACTGGAATCACAATCTTCTACCCTAGGCTTTCAGGAAAAAAACCAGGATTTCTCAAGCACCTGCCAAATACTCAGTATCATGAAGAGTGTAGTCATATGAATTATTAGGACTGGAGATTAAACATTAGATTCAAACATTAGTAGTAAGAATGGGACTATCCTTTCCTGTAATTCATGTGACAGTGAAATAACCAAGCCCTAATGAAAGATATCTCTTTAGTAATGTTAGAAGGCTATCAGTAGGTTTTAAAGGTAATTACAAAAATTGTTTATTTCCCTTGTTTAATTAACGCAGTCACTAGAACTTCAATCTCAGTGTTTAATTTTCCCCCAACAGTTTAGCTATGTCCAAGAAAAACAAGCATTTGAAGACTGGCATGGCAGATAACAAAATATTATTACCTTGTACTAGCTTCTCCTTACCAGATGGTTTCAGTAAAAACAGAACTCCCAATTGGTCTACTTGGTTGCCACTTCATGTCCATTAATACAATCAAAGTCTTGATTTTTGCCTCCTGTGATTCTCAACTGAGCAACTAACTTCAAAGAAAGAGCAGCAGAAGGAGTACTAAAGAACCACAAAACTCTCCATAAACTTACACCAAATACAACATTAGCACCGATACAGGTGACTTTCATGCTTCTCAATTTCTTTTCTTCCAGAACACCCTAGGATTACAGAGCCAACACTTCTGCTTTAAAAAAAAAAATAATAATAACTGTAGTCAGGGCAAGAAAAGGAAAACAGTATCTTTATTGTGTGTAGTTCTAACAAACATTCACTGTGTGCACATTCCAGCAGAAAGAGACAAAGATCTTTGTTCCAAATATGCTGAAATAAAATAGGTAAACAAACTCCATTATTGAATACACAAAAAGGAATGTTAATATTACTCGTTCACAGTTGAGGGTGAAGTAAAAAAGAAAGGAGGTTAAATAGTCATAATATTTTGTCCAACGAGCACATGTAGACTATAGGTACAGAAGAGCAGCTCCTAAACCTTATGAGTAAGATGCTAGATATTGGGTAGGTAACTTGACAAATACCTCTCTGCTTTCTGGAACCTCCCTCTGAAATCACCCCCACAAATTCCAAACCAGGCCCTTTCAGAGAACAACAGCCAAATGTGAACTAAACTCCCCATTACTCTTGTGATATCTGGCAACAGAATGAGATGGTTTAAAAAAAGAAAAAGTCAGTCTCTTGTTGAGACAAGACACGTCTGAATCTATTTCTCCCAGGGAAGGAAGTAATGAACGTTAATATTTCTGCATTTCAATCTCCTAAATGGAATTTAATCAGATAGGTATCGCTTGAGACTTGAAGCATGAGATACCATAAGTAATGATATACCTGGCCTATAAGTATAAAGCCTTTCTCATTGCTTCACATCGGAACTAAATGAGTATAAACTCAACAATGCTCTTGTCTAACAACACATGCGTTTATGGCAACTGCTAAAAGAACTTTACAGGCTCAAATTATAGGTTCCAATGGATTTTTGTTTCTGTTTAAGAGGTTACATAAGAATTAAACACAGTATCAACTTTGTCCCTACCACTTTCTTGTCTTTACAAATGTGGAGGTATTTAGAAACTAAAACCAGTGACTAAGGGGCAGCGCTAGGAAATTTTGGAGAGCTGGTACTAATATCCCCATTTGGGCGGCACACGTTTTCCCTCCTCTCCTTTGTGATCTCCAGCCATCATGTGTACAGTGTGGTGTACGGCAGCAGCTAGTTCTCCTTGGGAACAAACAACCCACCACCCCAGAGACCAACTCTCAGGGGCCAATGGGGACTGGCTCCACTTGCTCTCCAAAGGGGTTTTCATGACCTACCAAAGTTGAGACTGTTATGAGAATTTGAGTCTACCTCTTAAAATAAGTCCTTTTTGATGGACTTGGCTAACATACTCTATTACTTTACTGTTTACAAAAATCTCTGCAAATTCACACACCAGCTCTACCTTTTGCCTGGCTGTTCGTGCAGGCTGCAGAATAGCAGTAAATGGACCCCAAAGTGGTTTTTATAATACAAAGTGACATCAGTAGTAGATCAAAAGAAGCCCTGGGTATTGGACGGATTTCATGGATGGTAGAGACAAAGTCTGAAAATCTTTTCCTCTGGCTCTAAGTAAAAACAAGTCCAGATATAAACAGGAAAAGACATGCAATTTTAAATAGAAAAACATACCTTTTGTGTTGGTGTTCACCTTAAAAATATTTTTTTAAAAAAACCACCAATTTTACTTAAGACTATCACTCTTTAACATTTCTTATAAGCCAGATGTTTTTCATTTAATTTTGGAGACTGCAACATACTTTTAATTGATCCAAGTTATCTGCTGGCTTAGTTTCAGCCTGAATGTTCCCCTTCCAGGTCCTCAATACTCCTTTGTTCTTCATTTCTACCCCAATGTGGCCCATGTAATCATGCAGCTTAATTATTATAGCAATTATATCCCAATTCTTATTCAAAGCAACCCTTCCTTATGTCTTCAAGTGGGAGGAGCATCATAGTTACACCACTTTTCTTACATAATAACCAAAGTTTTTTTTCAATAAATTGTCTAAAAGTGGCATCTGATACAAAATATTTTCTAAAGATAAAAGTTTGACTATTCCCATATCCCTGATCTATAAAAGTCTGCCAAAAAATCCCCTACAATTTCTCCATAATATCATGTCCGAGTGTTCAAATATAAGGTTAATATTATTTTGATGAATTCTGAATTCACTCTACTCCAGGACCTGTGCTGAACCTTTTTAAAAACAGTTTCCATGGGCGGATGCTGCTTTGCAGGGCACTTTCCTGTCTTGTCAACGCCATGGCAAGCTGGCGGGGGGAGGGCTGCTGCAGAGAGGAGATACTGAGCAGTGCCCATGGACCTTCTAGAACCAAACTGCTCCTTGCTGCATAGAACAATGGCTCAGAAGCAAACTGGGATTCCTTAAAAGATGGGGAGAAAAATCACCACAGTTGTGTTGGCAAAAAACAGCCCATATGCTGTCTCCTCAGGTGCTTCCACAGAGAAAAAGAGGTGAAGTCAAGCCAGAGAAATTCCTGAACTAAGAAGAAACACTAACATAATTCTAAATAATGACCTACTCTTCAATTAAACATTTATCCAAGGAACAAAACTACTAGTTGGTTTTGGGTTCCCACCCCCACCAATGGAAAAACAGCAAAACCACAAATTAGAACCATGGAGGTAAAATACGGATGAAATAGAAAACATTCTGTTGTCATGCTCTCCCCCTTTTGAATGCCACTTGACTATGGAAGTTATTTTACTGGGGCTAACAGAAGATCAAATACTGTGTCTTTGATCAAGCTGGGCTCTCTTGCTTTTATAAGCAAGAAAAAATTCACTAAGCAATAAATAAAAAAGCAGGAAAAACCCCTGGTAAAGTTCTACAGATAGAATTATAAATTTGTCCCTCACCAATGAAAGACAATTGGAGGGAATAGAAAGAAGATGGCTAGAAAGTGGTGCCACACCAAAGCAGAGCATGACATCTTCAGGAAAGGAAAGAGAGAAAAAAAAAAGAAAAAGAATGAAGTCTTTGGTGCTCTTCCTAAACTCCCGTCCTAAAGTAGTGTCTTCAATATTTTGCAAAAGAAAGAGGACTAGGAGTTCACCCTATCACCCCAATTCATCTCTCTCCCCCTCCTTCTCTCTCTCTCTCTACTCCCAAGAAATACAAGGGAAGCATGGTTCTGTCCAGCACCACTTGGCGGACTTGGGCGATGACAAGGGCTATCTGCTCCATGAACTTATTAGCAGGGAGGACAGAAGTTCATGGCCCTTCCTAGTTCTAACAAACATAAACAAGGAACAAGATCATTTGGCAGTTGTGTTTTAAGTCATAGGTGTGCAATTTTACTTCATTAATTAAGACCCTTATGATAAATAATAGAATTAAGTCAGAACTAAATGTATATATACATATATATATTTACTTCAAAGGAAAATGAAAAAAGGAAAGCTTCAAAACCAGAGTGTGTTGCCCTGTTAAGAATGTCGAATGTGCATTCAAAGAATTGAAAAGCAGGCATTTTTACCAAAGGGCAATGTCACTAGGACATCTGGGATTGTAATTATAAAACAAAGTTGGGAAACGCAAAGGGGCTGGTGGAAGCCAGCAGAGAGAGGGGCCACTGGCAGGGACACAGAACAATGAGCAGGTGCTTTGGGAATAAGGCTCTGGGAAGTGAAGGGCTCTGGCCCCAGGTCTGGGGTGGATGTCCGGCCAACCATTTGGGCTCCAAAGGGGAAGCACATACTCGGCAGGATTCAAGAAGAGGGCATCGCTCGGCCTCCAAACAAGTCTCTAGCTCACACTCCCAATGGATATGCTTTCCAACTTCCACACAGTCTCCTCAGGATGATTTGCTTTCCGACGTGTAGTAACGGTACAGGAAACCTAAGACAATGGCGCCTATGATGGGCAAAATCCAATACGACCAGCAACTAGAAGTGGGGGGAAAGCAAAGAAGCCATGAACACCTGATACCAAACATTTGCTACCTTTCAACATGTACATTTTAATATTTCTTATAAGCAAAGAGTTTTGATTTACTTTGGGAAGTTTAACTGCTTTTATCACCCAAGTAGCAGGAAAAAAATAAAAATTTGGATTGGCACGATACTAATTTTTAAAATAAAAAACAATATATAGTATGACACTAAAAATATACACATATGTACACACCTCTTTATATGTTTTTACAAAGACAAGTAGTGGTTATTTTTGGGTTACAAGATTGTGGATGGCTTCAATTTTTCCTCTTTGTGCTTTGTTTTTATATATTCTACAACTGACATTCTGAAGCAAGAAAAAAGCCACCGTTTTATAGATATAATTATAAATTTAGAAACAATATCATCAAATACAACTATTGGCAATGTTACATCTGTCTCATGTAGATTTTCTAAATTTAATCCTCACAACAACCCTATGAAATAGTTGCTACTATTACTCTCATATACGTAGAGAATACAAGCATCACACACAAAATCACAAAGCAGAGGGAGTCAACCAGTCTGATCCCAGATCCATCCTCTTGATCTCTAGTTAAGTTTGGACACTAACAAGGATATATATCGACACTGAACACATTGAAAAGTGAAATAAATGGCAGGTGGCTTAAGAAAAATTGGGGTGCCTGAGTAACTCTGTCGGTTAAGCAACTGACTTAGTATTGGCCCAGGTCATGATCTAGGGGTCGTGGGATCGAGCCCTAATTGAGCCTGCTTGAGATTATCTCTCTCTCTCTTCCTCCTGCTCGAAAACAAATAAATAAATCTTAAAAAAAAAAAAAAGTTAAATAAAGTTAAATAAATGGCAGTTGGCTTGAGAAGTCCTTCCTGTAAGAGACTTTCCTTGGAAATTTTGGAATAAGTTGTCACTCTTCTTAAAACAATTCTTCCCTGGGGCGCCTGGGTGATTTAGTCGGTAAAGCGTCTGCCTTTGGCTCTGGTCATGATCCCGGGGTCCTGGGATCGAGCCCCGCACTGGGCTCCCTGTTCAGTGGGAAGCCTGCATCTCCCTCTCACTGTGTGCACACTCACTCTCTCTTTCTCTTAAATAAATAAATAAAATCTTTAAAAAACCAACAATAATTCTTCCCTAATAAAGCTCCTTAGCACTGGTGGTCTTTTATTTTTATTTATTTTTATTTTTATTTATTTATGATAGTCACACACAGAGAGAGAGAGAGAGGCAGAGACACAGGCAGAGGGAGAAGCAGAGGGAGAAGCAGGCTCCAAGCACCGGGAGCCCGACATGGGATTCGATCCCGGGTCTCCAGGATCGTGCCCTGAGCCAAAGGCAGGGGCTAAACCGCTGCGCCACCCAGGGATCCCAGGACTGGTGGTCTTAAAGTGTAATTTCTCCATGATCCAAATGACCTGCATGCCCTTCTACTAAGACATGTCCAGCCTTAGTATTAAAAGGTTGTGAAGCCAATAAAACCAGCTAAGGTTCAATAACAAAAGTGATTCTCCTTGCCTAAACATGCCTAGCACTTTGTACATTTAAGTATGGCAGAAAGCTGTTCCAGAGAAGTTTAGAATGTCAGCCAAGTAGCTTTGTGTAAAGAAAAAGAAAGCAAGGAAATTGGCATGTACAACAGCAATACTGCACATGGGAACTGTGAAGTAACGTCCCCATAAAGGTAATCAATTCAGATTATCTTGGAGAACAACCACAAGAGACAAAAGAGCTTGAAGGTAAGGTCCTTAAGAAAACTCCAAAAAGAAATTCTTCAGTACAAAAGACTGAGAATGGTCGACCACCAGTCCTCATACAATCCTCTGTAATACTTGTCACTGGGACAGAAGCAGAGGAAATGGATTTACGCTGCACCAAAAGAATTTTAGGTTCAACAGAAACTTCCTGGCCACGAGACAGAATGTCTCTTGGAGATCTGCTCATGTTACTGCATGCAGTTGTGACTCATTTGTCTTTACTGCTTTGTAGTATTCCACTTTATGAATATACCAGAATTTTATGATATACCAGAATGGATTCATTTTAAATTTTTTATTAGTTTATTAATTTATTAATTTATTGATTGGATTCACTCATTTTATTAAGGAATGGTTATTTGGGTTGTTTACAAGATTTCACTATCTTAAATAATGCTGTTATGAACATTCTAGTATGTGTTTTCTGGTATACCTGAGCACTCATTTCTCTCAAGTATATCCCTAGAAATGGAATTTCTGGATAAAAAATTATTCATATTGTCAAATTTACTAGATAACATCAAATTCTTTTCCAAAGTGATTGTACCCACTTATGGTACCCTAAGAGGGCCTAAGAACCTTGGTGGTTCACTTCCTCAAAAACTCCTCTTATTTGTAGAATTTTTAATTTTTGCTAATCTTGTAGCTGTGAAATATACTTTATGATTTTATTTTATTATTTTTAAAGATTTTATTTATTTATTTGAAAGAGAGAGTGTGTGTGAACTCAAGCAGGAACAGAAGGAGAAGGAAAGAATCTCAAGCAGAGTCTGTACTGAGCGTGGAGCTGATATGGGGCTCAATCTCACGACTCTGAGGCCATAACCTGAGCAGAAACCAAGAGGTGGACACTTAATCAACTGAGCCACCTGGAGACCCTACCTTATGATTTTAATTTGCACCTCTCTGATAACAAATGAAATCAAACCTTTGTTTCATGTGCCTATATTTGGGTTTCCTCTTCTGCGAAGTGCTTAAGTCTTTTTCCCATATTCTACAAAATTATTTTTAACTGATTTGTAGGAATTCTTATGTATTCTGCATAATAATTCTTTTTTTGAAGATGCATTTATTTATTTCAGAGAGAGCGAGCGAGCACAAGTACATGAGTAGGGGGATGGGCAGAGGGAGAGAATCTCAAGCAGACTCCCTGTTGAATGTGGAGCCTGATGCAAGGTTCGATCTCATGACACATGAGATCATGGCCTAAGCTAAAACCAAGTCAGATGCTTAACTGACTGAGACACCCAGGCACCCCTGCATAATTCTTAATGAGTGTTATGTGTAGCCTAAGCCCATTGCAAGTTTATGGCTTATGTTTTCAAATTCTTTATGGAGTATTTGGCTGAGCACAGGACCTTAATATTAAGGAAAGTCAACTTATTAATAGTTTTCTCTAAGTTTAAATATTTTAAATTCTCTGTCCTACACCTCAAATAAAAAAGAGGGAATACTTTTGTGGGGGGAAAAAACATCACGTTTTCTCTCTCTCTCTGAAACACTTCAAGTAGGATCTCAGAAAGATAAAAGAGTTCTATAAAATCTCTATAAAGATTTTTTACAAGCCACGGATTCCAGAGTTATCTCAAGTACCTTTAAGGGATGGCAAATGTATACCTTTCAGAGTTCATACTACTGTATTACAAAAACCACGGCAAGGGCTATTTGTAAGTAAACCTTTGAAAAAAAAATCCCTAAATACACACGCAATACATATTTTTTCCTTTCTATAAAATGCAATAATAGCACCTCCCCCCCTTAGATGGTTCTGAGGATTAAATGAGATTAAGTTTTAAGTGAAAGATGCAGAGCTGGGCTGAGCTACAGAGCTTGACTTCACAGTAGTTACTTGTCCATGCATTGGCCATTCACCCAACATGACTCCAATTTATGTTACAACATGACTTAAAAATTATGTAAGGCATGAACTTTTGAGATTACTCAAAATGACTGCAACTGCCAAAACTTAATTTTGCTAATAGTAAGGAACTACTGAATTTGCAATAAATTCGGCCCCTCTAAAATTAATTGTTAAACTGTACTTTTTAAAAATTGAGATATAACTAACATATTCTTGAAACACAGTAACACAATATTGCATTCATTTTAGGTGTACAACACAGTAATTTAGTAAGTTTATACTTATGCTTTGCTCACCGCAAGTGTAGTTACCATATGTCACCATACAACACTCAAAATACCCTTGACTGTATTCCCCATGCTGTACTTCTTATTCCCAAGTCAAACTGTACTTTTTTAAAAATATATTTTATTTATTTATTCGTGAGAGACAGAGAGAGAGGCAGAGACATAGGCAGAGAGAGAAGCAGGCTCCTTGTGATGAGCTCAATGTGGGACTCGATCCCAGGACCCCAGGATCACACGCCCTAAGATGAAGGCAGATGCTCGACCACTGAGCCACCCAGGCACCCCTCAAACTGTACTCTTAAGTTATGTTATACATGTATATTTACAGAAGAGTCTCTAGCCAGACATTATGTTGAGCATAAGGAAGTCCATTAAGGGTATACTAACCTTTTGCACGTGGCATCTTTCGAAGGGTCCTAAAGAAGACACATATTCAAAAGTTACCAACAAAAACAAAGAAGATTAATAGAATACATAAATCTTCCTAAATGTCTACATAAACTCTGCAACTAATAACATAACTTCATTGTTCATGCAATTTGACATTTATGAATCTAATGTACTGGGAGGACCAAGGATTCTATTTCTGATAACATACTAGTAACTCCCTCCTGAAGAACAGGTAAGGAAAGCATAGAAAAATGGCCTAAACTTTCTTAGATGAAAAAAAAAATGCTGTTGATATAAACTATATTGAAATGAACTAACTGGAGTCACAATAGTATGCCTGGTTCAGCTGGGCTTGCCACTGGCAGTAGCAAAGACTGTATTTTCTGAAAAAATATACTTAAAAAAAATAAAAACTTGTGACAAACAGATCAACTGTGAAATGCTCTAGAGCATGCAGATAATTGCTTTGTGGCTTATAAAAATGAACTGGTTTACTCTCTGAAATCATAATTATGATTAGAAACCCTAGGGCTTATTTAACAATGAAACAGGAAGAATGAAATTAAGGGGGAAAAATACCAAAATAACCTTAAAAACAAAATTTTGGCAATAAAAAGTAATGAACTACTGATCCATGCTTCAACATGGATGAACCTTGAAGACATTTATGCTAAGTGAAAGGACTTAGGTATAAAACACATCATGTTATACAAATACGATAGAAATCCATTTGTAAGAAAGGTTCAGCACCGGCAAATCTAGAGGATCTGTGGTTTCCTAGGGCTGTCAGGGCAACAGGAGAAGAATATGTGGAGGGAAAGGGCATGGCTGCTAATGGTATGGGGTTTCTTTCTGGAGCGATGAAAATGTTCCAAAATTGTGATTATGGTGGCACATTTCTATGAATATACTAAACCCCCCTGACTGGCATATCTTAAATAGGTAAATTGGATGGTTTGTGAATTTTATCTGATAAAGCTGTTATTAAAATTTTCAAATCCAGCTCTCTGGGCTTGGACCTGGCTGGGGGCGACATGGCCAAATGCACCAAGAAGGTAGGAATTGTGGGTAAATACGGGACCCTATATGGGGCCTCTCTCAGGAAGATGGTGAAGAAGATTGAGATTAGCCAGCACGCCAAGTACACCTGCTCCTTCTGTGGCAAGACCAAGATGAAAAGGCGAGCAGTGGGCATCTGGCACTGTGGCTCCTGCATGAAGACCATGGCCGGTGGTGCCTGGACCTACAACACCACTTCTGCTGTCACAGTAAAGTCTGCCATCAGAAGACTGAAGGAGTTGAAAGACCAGTAGAGGCTCTGCCATTTGAAACATTCCTAGCCTATAATAAATGGGTTAATTTATATAATAAAATTACTTGGGCTTGTTGTTAAAAAAATTTTTTTTCAAATCCAATTTAAGTAAATATTAAATGAAGTTCTTGAGTCCATTAATTAAGCTAGATACACAAAAGGCCTGCTAACTTACTGCCAGAGGACAAACCCATTAGCATAGGTTACTGCTGCCCAAAATTATCCTCTTTGTCATTATGGAGAAGTATGTGAAGGTGTGAACACAAATAACAACTCTGTTAAACCACAATTTTCAGTAATCTCCAAGAATTTCCAAAAACCCTACATACTGGTCTAGATAGAGATTGTGAAATGAGTTTTAATTTCATATATCCGAAACACTGCCATGCAAATGAATACATGCCCTAAACTCGAAAGACATTAGCCCACAGGCAAATAAAACTTTTAATAAAAAGTTTCAGATAAACCACATTAAAATACTACTATACTTCTTCGCGACCTTGATGATTACTGCTACCCAGGACATTTCTACTAGAATATCATGAGTCAGGTTAATTAAAATGTGTCACAAGTCAATCTTTGAGAAATACAGCAAATGCTTTATAAATTTGAAAGGTGATGGTTTTCGTAGTTATGGTAGTATGGGTATCAGATTAATTTCTAACATTGTCTTTTAAAAGATCCCACTACAGTAGCCATGAAATAACTGAATTTCATCAAGAAAATATCCATGGTCTTTTATGCCTTATCCACATATATACCAATGATTTTAGAACAAAAAAATGTACAGTCAGTATTTTAAAAACAGATAATTTGAAAGGCTTACATGAAAGCATTATGGACTAATATATGTATTATGTTTAATCTGTAATCATAGTAAAAGCCAAAGTTCATATAATTAGATTCTCTGGATTTCAAAACTCTAGCCTCTTTTACAACTTAAAACCTGGGATGTGTGCTAACTGGAGTGAACCTCAGGAAACAACTGAAGTGAACAATGCAGGAAGCAACTGAGAAAAGAAAGAGAGAAAGACCAGAGAGATCAAAATATGCTCCAACTGTAAGAGTTTCTAATAAGCAATAAAAAAAATTTTAAATATAGTTTTTTTTTTTTTAAACTAAGTACCTCAATTCCTGTTTTAAGATCATTTCAGCCCTAGAGGCAAAAAGGCCAACTTCCCTACCGCTGAAGGAAAGAGAAGAGAAAAAAGTGGACCCTCTCTTTAGGACACTGACAGCCAAGTAAATGCCAAACTACAGCAACTCCATTTTTAATCAACCATAATGAAAGAGTTGTTTAAGGCACTGCTCTTAGAAGCCAAGTACCTCAGCCAAGTTTGGAAATAAGCCAAGTAAGTTATTTTTAATTTAACAAAACTAAAAAGAAGGTTTTGTTAACACAAAACTTTCATTCACCCTCATTCTGCTGTTCTCTCTATGCTCAGCTCCCCAATTCCCATTTCCACTCCAAAGCTCTGTGCTCAATCTAATGGATGCTTAAGTGAAATTCCTACAGTTTATGATTGACTTTAACCTACCCCTTTGTGTGTTCAGGCATATCTGGCTGGTTATATCCTTGCCCACATTTTAATTTACATGTAAGATTTTTGGTCAGGAGAACAGGAACTGCTCAATTTTTGGCATGGAAAGCTGTAATTGCAATACTATATGATTTTAGTTATAAGAGAGCAGATCAAATCCAGAGTTCTTCTACCAAAAGCCTTACCAAGTAATTAACATGCATGTTTCTGGAATACACTTCCAAACAACTAATTGTTTTAAGTCTAATTGCTATTTTAGCTCAAAATTAACAAAAATGAACTGTTTGAATATATTGGTTTCTTAGGTTCAAAGTTCATTAAGGCTTAATTCCTTCATCAAATAATAAATACATATATACATTCATACATACACGAAACATGGACTCTGTAGGATAAAAGGAAATATTTCATAATATGAGTTGCCTTTTTATTAAGCTGCTCATTAAGTGAAACTGTCTATTGTCTTCAAGTTCAACGCTAAATCAATTCCCTCATTTATACAAATGAAAGGCTCAGATAAACTCTCGTTCTAAAGCCATATTTAATTAACTCAAACACAATTTTCTGACCCAAGGGCATTTTAGCAAAATCTGTAATAGCAGCCTTCTAAAGGTTAAAGAGAAGGAAACGCTATTTTCCAAGTTTGGAAAGACTGGAGGAATGCTTACCCATATGTAGAGTTTTCTATCTTGCACCTGGTATACAGAGATATGCTCTTCTAGACACTATTCCAAGAGGCACTGTACTGTGTGGACTCTCTTTGATATGGTTAAGAGAATGACAAAGAAATATAGTAATTGGCAAATGTATAGGAAGGGATTTGGGGGTCAGTGGGCATGGTTTCACTATGAAAACCGTTTTTTAAAAAACATGAGAAACACAAACTAAGTAATAGTGTACTCTGTCATCAGGACATTCACATAGGAAACAATGCACCAGAATTATTATTATAATGCATTAAATTATACAGATAGGGCATTTTTAAAGTGAATCTTCAGCCTAAACAGATTTAAACAGAAGGGAAATCTATTGTAAGGTGTAGAAGGAGATTTGGCAGGGGGGTGGGGGGGCGGGGGCGGCTTATGTTTTAATTCCTAAATTAGATGCTTGCTATTCCAAGAGGATTCCAAGTATTTAGAGTTGGAAAAAGTGGATTTTTAGCCACATGACAACTTTGGTGAAGCTAATGAGTATTTGGGTGGTCCAACAGTTTTTGCAGCTTTTTATTTAGAACACTTTGGTTTCTATGTGGCCAGTAACTTATAAAAAACAACTCTGGAACTTTTGGTTTCAAACTCTATTAGAAAGGATTTTTCTCCCATAACACAATGGACTTTATGGCATGAACTGTCACAATATGAATTTCAGCATTAATTTTTTTTCAGCATTAATTTCTTAAAATCTAAGAAGTTTGACTTGAAAATTGAAATACATGATTGAAATATTTGAAATACATGATTTTAACATTTTATAGTCCCAACTATGACATGGCCATGTATGCATCCTGAGGACAGCCTTTTCAAGAAGCTCCTAAGTATTAACACTTACTGTTTTGTAAAGTACATATCATCCCTAGAGGCAGCCCAGTCAAGTGCAAAATATTTCCCTGCATATAAAGGCAAAATTCAAAGATGAAAAACACCCTTTAAGACAAATTTCTGTACAACTAACTCTCTTGAGAACCCACTGTGATATCATATTTAAGACATCACTGAAGAAAAAAATTCAATATTCAGAGTAATTTCCATTGGGACCAAGGAGTGAAAAACTTGTTCTAACACTAGAGGGCTGATTTGAAAAAGATGTTACCTTATCCTTCTAACACCTTTTGCAAAACTACATACTATTTCTAAATAAAGCATTATGAGAGAACATTAATCCTTGAAATGCCTCAGCAATGGGCATTTTGTTTTTCAAGAGGGATTTTGCCATTACATTCTATGCTTTATTTCAAAATATTAATGTTTCAAAAATGAAATGTTAAACAAAATCAGGAACCATGAATCAACCATGCAAAATTATTTGGTTAAAGAGCAATTACTACTCATCTAAAGGGCATCTACATAACCATTCCAAACTTAAATAAACTAGGTTTTATGTATGACAGGAATATTAAACAATACTTTGAAGGAAATTTTTGGTATGATGCAACTAAGTAATTATATTACATAATTATAAACAATGTATTCTTTTTAGTTTCTCTCCCATAAAACAGAAGGTAAGCTGAATGTTATATATGTGTACCAGAAAATTGTTGTATAACAAAAGTCGGTAGCATCAGTAAGAAAAAAATGTATCTGCTTTTATTTTTTTTTAAAAAATTTTATTTATTCATGAGAGACACAGAGAGAGAGAGAGAGAGGCAGAGACACAGACAGAGGGAGAAACAGGCTCCATGCAGGGAGCCCATCAGGAGACTCGACCCTGGGTCTCCAGAACCATGTCCTGGACTGAAGGCGGTGCTAAACGGCTGAGCCACCCAGGATGCCTGTATTTGCTTTTAAATGCAACTTATAGATTGCTTCTAACATACATGGAATTTACTAGATTTCAAAAGTTAAAATTTTTATTATTTATTTATTTTTAAAGATTTTATTTATTCATTCATGACAGAGAGAGAGAGGCAGAGACACAGGCAGAGAGAGGAGCAGGCTCCATGCAGGGAGCCCAATGTGGGACTTAATCCCAGGACTCCAGGACCATGCCCTGGGCCGAAGGCAGGCGCTAAACTGCTGAGCCATCCAGGGATACCCAAAAATTAAAAAAATTTTTTTTTTCAAAAATTAAAATTTTTAAGTTAAAATATGAAGTTTAAATAACATGCTAAGCCTTTACGGAGACAATCTTATTTGGTTTTTATTTATTTTTAAAGATTTTATGTATTTACTTGAGAGAGAGAGAGAGAGAGCAAGTAACAGAAAGAATGGGGTGGGGGGCAGCAGGCAGAGAGAGAGAAAGAAGCAGACTCCCCACTGAACAGAGAGCCAGATGCAGGGCTCCATCCCAGGACCCTGGGACCACGACTGGACCCCAAACTGAAGGTAGATGCTCAATTAAATAAGCCACCTAGGTGCTCCACAATCTTATTTGTTTTTTGTTTTTGTTTTTTATGATAGTCACACAGAAAGAGAGAGGCAGAGACACAGGTAGAGGGAGAAGCAGGCTCCATGCACCGGGAGCCCGACGTGGGACTCGATCCCGGGTCTCCAGGATCGTGCCCCCGGCCAAAGGCAGGCGCCAAACCGCTGCGCCACCCGGGGATCCCTCTTATTTGTTTTTAAAAAAACACATCAGGGCAGCCCCAGTGTTGCAGCGGTTTGGCGCTGCCTGCAGCCTGGGGTGTGATCCTGGGGACCAGGGATCGAGTCCCACATTGGGCTCCCTGCATGGAGCCTACTTCTCTCTCTGCTTGTGTCTCTGCCTCTCTCTCTCTGTGTCTATGAATAAATAAATAAAATATTTAAAAAAAATAAAAAAATAAAAAATAAAATAAAAAATAAAAAACATATCAAATCCTGTTACGTACAGCAAATGACATCTCATCAAAATTCTTGTCTATGGAATACTGTTAAAGAACAATCACTGGGGATCCCTGGGTGGCGCAGCGGTTTGGCGCCTGCCTTTGGCCCAGGGCGCGTTCCTGGAGACCCGGGATCGAGTCCCACGTCGGGCTCCCGGTGCATGGAGCCTGCTTCTCCCTCTGCCTGTGTCTCTGCCCCCCCCCTCTGTGTGACTATCATAAAAAAAACAAACAAACAAAAAAAAAAAACAATCACTAATTGCACTGTATGGTAAGTAATTCAAATTTAAATAAAGATTTGAAAAAAATTAATCGGGTTTCTTGTAGAAAAAAAAGAACGATTATGATGAAATTTTTAAGTAAAAATAAACAAGGCACAGAACAGTATTGTGATTTTTTAAGGAAGGGATGGTAGATTGGCCTATCAATGGACTGATCAATGGATCGATATGTCCGTCCACCTATTTATATTTATGAATGCACAGAATCTCTTGAGAAGAATAAACAAGAAAATGGTAGCTGGTTACCTCCGGGGAGGGGGAACTGGGAGACTGAGAGTTGGAGATGGAAGGAAGTCATTTTATATGTATAATAAAATATATATATAGTTATATATACTTATACATTTTATATATGATTTATATATAATTTATTTTATATATTATATATTTTATATCAGTATATATTATATTTATATTATATAATCATATAAATAATATGCATGTTACTTATATAAAATTACATACATAAAAGTATACTTTTTTGCACTATTTCAATTTTTTTGCCATCATGTATTACCCATTCAAAAATTTAAATGGGGGGCACCTGGGTGGCTCAGTGGTTGAGCTCAGGTCATGATTCCAGGGTCCTGGAATGGAGCTCCGTGTCAGGCTCCCTGCTCAGGGGGGAATCCACTTCTCCCTCTCCCTCTGCCCTCCCCCACAATTCACGCTCGCGCTCTCTTGCTCTATCTCAAATAAATAAATAAATTCTTAAAAAAAATTTTAATGGAATAATGGTCAGGTTACTGAGTCTATTCATTGTAATGATATTTTAAGCAGCTGAATTGCTACCTAGATAATATCTGTTGAAGAAATGAATGAAATGGTACTGACTACTTTTATTAGGTTAGCATGCATATGTACCTCATCTCAACTGCCAGCAGCTCAGTTAACCTACAGGTGAACCCACCATCAAGGGAGAGACCTCGGGGACAACAAATGGATCTAGGTTACTCACAGTACAGCAGACGGGCAGGCAAAATGGCACAGGAAATACCAAGTGTTTCTAAGGGGAGTTTCCACAATGCAAAGCAGACCAAAAAAATGTTAAGTAGGAATAGAAGCCTGATGTTTCTCAGCATGGGGACTATTGCAGGGAGGAAGAGATTCACTGAGACAAAAAGGTTTTTAATTCTAGACCGTTAGCTAGGACTGAAGAGGTGAGAAAAACATCTGTTGCCAGATCTCTAGTTTCTACACTTGTACTTTTTAGTTTTGTAATATTTCAGGGCCTTGGACCTCAGGCATTATCAGTCGAACAAGAAAACAATGGGTGATTATCAATTATTTAAATGTTGTAGCAGAAGCAGTATGAAAGGTAGTTGCAAAAAAACTGGAGACACGTTCCTGATTTAGACTCTCCAACAGCAGATTCTGGATGGCTTTTTTCTTTTTTTTTTTTAATTTTGTGGGGAGGGGTGTCCTTGCAGGCAGGGAAGAGATGGGAAATTGTCGGGGGAGGAGAGAAGTAGAGAAATGAAAGAAGGGAGAAGGGAAGGGAAATGAAAACTGTCCCCTGAGGCAGAAGATACCTCTTAATTAGGCTTAAAAAAAAAAAAAAATACACACTTCTTTGTAGAGGTTTAGGAAGCCTTAGCCAAAAGCAAGTATTAATGAAATGAATTTTTACTTCCAATTTTTCCACATGCTTCATGGTGAGTGAAGAAAAATTAAGAAAAGAGACAGCTACATCATAGATACAGAAGTACTTATTTAAAATCTTTGTAAGAAATAAGTCTGAGGAACCAGGACTTTCTTCCTGGAACTGAAATCAGGTTGGAATCTAGCTTTATGAAAACCTATGTGGATGGCCTTGAAATTTTTCCCAAAGGTTTTCCTTGCTTGATATGCCTTAAGTACAGCAGTGTGACTGGAAACACTCTATAATGTACTCTCTACTTAATAAAGACTGTCCTCTGGGTACAACAGACAGGCGGACAACAGCTCTGAATATACTGCCTTTAGTTTATACCAGGCACACCAAACTATATTTGAAAACGTCTAAATTAATGCAGAATTCAGTGAGTTAAAAAGAGTTTCTTTTTCTGAATTTCTTTCTTTTTTTTCTTTTTTTCTTTTTTTTTTTTTTCTGAATTTCTTACCAAAAGTCCAAGACTCAACAGATTTCATTTAGCTGAGACATCTCTAACTCATTCTTTGGTCTACACGGTAGACAGTGCTTTCTACAGAAGAGAATTAAAGTTTTCCAAGTTTTCCAATGAAAAGATGGGCACATCATTTAGCAAAAAGTCTGGCGCATGGCTACCTGGGTTGCGTCAAAAGCATATTCCCAAATCCCACCTCCAGAGATTATGAATCAGTAGTAGTGGAAGCCTAGGAAACAGACATTTCGGAAACAGCCCAGGGATTCCAACACAGGTGGCTCAAGGGACAGAATTTGAAAAACTCCGCTCTCCATTCCTAAGAATGGTCCTCACCATATATTCAACTACCAAGGAAGAAAAATAGCAACAAGAAGCAATTGCAGACTTTTAGACAATTATAATTCCAAAATTTTTTCCTATTATTTTAATAAAGGTGTTTTCATGATTGTTGTAGGTTATGACTCCTAGATACTAGGTATATCACTTGTACAAATGGGAATATCCCTTGAATTCAATGTTTACTTTAACTGAGACCAATGTTTTCCACATGTTTGATACACTCAGCAAGGCCACATGCAGCTCAAACTTTACCTTTGTTACACGTACCAGAGCGGGAAGACAGACCCACAGTGCTCATGAAGCATTTAAAGGAATCATTTCATCCCCCGCTTCAGGAACAATTCAACAAATCAGAGTACCAGAGTGGAGCAAGATGGAAGAGATAATTTCCACAAACACTCTGGATTGCAGAGCAACAGACGGCAGACACTGTCAAGCAATCTCGAGTTGAAAGAATTCTATGTCTGGGCAGACTTTAACTGCCGTATCAAACATGTTTGTGATTCCAGCTCAGTGAGGAAAGAGAAGCAAGATGCTCAAAGGAGGAAAAGCTGCTACCATGAAGCTCTGGTAGCAACTGAACTGCTGTCCCTTGAAGTGAAAGGGTAACCTAACAGCTCTCTGAAGGCGGAAGTCAAGAAAAGCAGGAAGTAATAACGGAAAGGAACAGCCCCACTTGTGGGAAGCTAAAAGGCTTTCCTATTTTGTTCCTGGTATGTTATGCGGTACGCGTTAAGCTTTTCAAATATTTAATCTTTTGGTTTTGCTGTATCACTGAGTAAGTAAAATGGGTACAGGCCTATTTGAGCCCATACGATAAAAGGATTAAATCTGGGTAAAAGGGGCAGAAAGGCCATTCTAATCAATTACTTCAATCTGTAACTCCTGAGCTTTTTAAGTGAAAATCAACTTTCCAATTATTTTTCCAACACAGAATTATTATCACCTGCACTATTTAATGTAAGAATAAGAAATACTTTTTCTACAACTGAACCCATAAACTAATTTCTTTCAAAACCATACAAGGCATGGCTTTTTTTTTTTTTCAAGCAAATAGAAGCACAAACAAAATGCTTCCTACTGTTGAAGACTTAGCTATTCCTTTTTCCTAAGATGGCACTGAGTCCAAATTCCTGAAAAATAGGATTTTTGCTTGGAGGAAAAGTAAACACTTCTGTTGTTAAGATAATTTTTTAAAAAGCCATTCTATTTGCGTAAATAGAAATATAAACACTTGAAACACCAAGAGAAACAAGTGACTTCTTACCTTGCTACCACTTTCAGGTTTAAGGTCATCCTGTTAAAAAAGGAAAACAAATAATATTCTAAGTCATATCCAAACGAATTCTCACTCGGTGCACTATGTGCTTGTTTCTAACCTTAGACCGTGAGACTACATTCTGGGAATAGAGAATTCTCTGAGAGACGTCAAGGTCTGTAGAAGGATAGATGCTCCCCCACCCCCAACTCTGAGCCTATCAGGGTCCCCTGTCTATAGTTACCACCTGTAGCAAGGAACTTTCAAGAACAACCAAATCATCATTTTAGCCCAAGATGTAATTGTATTACAAAATCAATTTTAAAAAATTCCCAAAACCATTTCCCTTCACATTTCTGATACTACCGGTGTTGCTTTCCACACAAGAAGCTGTATCTCAGCAGAGCAAATCAGGCAAAATGATTGGGAGGATATGTAGCCTGATGGCTGGGTTGAATGAATTTCCATTTTAATACTGCATTCCCCCTTGTTGTGTTCTGTGGCTGTTCAGCACGCCTCGTCCAGTTGGTTCTTACCGGATGCACATCACCAATATAGTACTGCTTTAGCATTTCTCTGGCATCAGAGGAGTGGCCTACATCTTCAAAGCTTTCACTCGCATCTGCACCAGCTTGTTCCAGCAGGACCTCTTCTCCTCCAGGATGCTACAAAAAAAAAAAAAAAAGGTATTTGCTGAACACAGGGTCCTCTGAAAAGCAAACTAATAGAAGTTATTTTCCCCTCTTCTCCTTTTTTCTCTTTTCTTCCTTTAATGGGAGCCATGGGACAAACTGACATTGTATGCCACCTGACGGGATGCAATGGGAAGAACATAACATGTGATATTCATACCAAAAAATGTATATTCTTCATGTAATTGTGAGGAAATCTAGGACAATAGCAAAGGGAGATTCAGCAAAAATGACTGGCCTATGCTCACCCAAAAAAATCAAGGTCACAAAAGCTAAGGAAAGACTGAAGAACAGTTCTAGGTTGAAGGAGGCTAGCAAGACAGGACAACTGGGAACAATGTGTGCTCCTGGCCTGACTCTCTTTGGCAACATTATCGAGATGGCTACAGAAACCCGGATGGAGACTCTGGTCAAAGAATAGATGGAATTGTTTATTCTATTCTTGCAACTTCTAAGTTGGAAATGGTTTCAAAATAAAAAGTTAAGTAAGTGGTACCAAAATAACCGCCTCTATACCTAGGAAGTAGATTACATCTATAACTGACAAACTATATGACCCTGGGCAAGTTACTAAGAAACTAAGAGGTAACTTTTCTTCCTTGTTTATAAAATGGAGGTAACAGGAAGATCCTATCTTAACTATTATTGTATCAAATGAGATAAGGATATGAAATATTTTGTACTCAGGAAGAGGAGAAAGGTGTAACTTATATAATATGCTACCACCTGTGACTTAAAAGCAGATACATATATGTGTAATATACATGCATAAAATCTCTCTGAAAACAATGAAAAGGACCTGAGGACTGGGAGACATAAGGTAGAAGGAACATTTTTCACTGCAGACCCTCTTGAAATAGTGTTACCAAGTAAAGAACTACCTATTGAGAAAAGATTTTAAAATTACCTTTATCACAGTCTCTGACTTAAACATTCAATGAATATTTACTTACAATGAGCAAACTGAGAATTTACATTTTATGACATATCCAAATCTGTATTTTTAAAGTATCAAGTAATCCTTTTAAGGAGTTACTTTTTATAACAACCTTTTAAGCAGGAATAATATTATCATCCTTATTTTAAATAGATGTTGTTTATTGGGGGGAGCAAGCAGGGAGAGAGACAGAGGGGGAAGGAGAAAGGGAGACAGCTTCTGAAGCAAACTCCTTGCTAACAACGCAGAGCTCGATCTCACAACCATGAAGTCATGACCTGAGCCAAAACCAGTCAGAAGCTTAACCAACTGAGCGAGCCACCCAGGTGCCCCCATCCTTATTTTAAAGGTGAATTCAACTGAAACTTGCCTATGGGATCCCTGGTTGGCGCAGCGGTTTAGCGCCTGCCTTCGGCCCAGTGCGTGGTCCTGGGGTCCCGGGATCAAGTCCCACATCGGGCTGCACAGGGCCTGCTTCTCCCTCTGCCTGTGTCTCTGCCTCTCTCTCTTTCTGTGTCTCTCATGAATAAATAAATAAAATCTTTAAAAAATAAAATATAAAATAAAATGGCAGCCCAGCTGAAGGCAGCACACTACGCCTGAGGACAGCACAGCCAGGGCCAGTCCTAGGCAAAGGTAATGCCCAGGCTGAGGGCCTGGCCCGTGACCCTGACTAGGCTGGCTCTCAATAAAGATGGCGGGAGGAGCTCCGGGCTGGCTCAGTCAGTAGAGCATGCAACTCTTGATCTCAGGGTTGTGAATTCAAGCTCCATGTTGGATGTGGAGATTACATAAAAATAAAATCTTGGGAGGCCTGGGTGGCTCAATGGTTGAGCATCTGCCTTCCGCTCAGGGTGTGATCCCGAAGTTCCAGGATGGAACTTCAGATGCTATCTTGCATCAGGCTTCCTGCGAAAAGCCTGCCTCTCCCTCTGCCTGTGTCTCTGCCTCTCTCGCTGTGCCTCTCATGAATAAATAAATTCTTTTTAAAAAATAAATAAAAATAAAAATAAAATCTTTAGAGGCTCCTGGGTGGCTCAGTTAAGCATCTGATTCTTGATTTCAGCTCAAGTCACAATCTCAGGGTTGTAAGATCTCCCCATTCCAGTTCCACACTGAGCATAAAGCCTGCTTAAGATTCTCTCCCCCTCTGAACTTCCACAATTCTCTCTCTAAAGAAATAAAATGGAAATTATAGTCCCAAACAGTCCTTGACATGAAAATACTACTTCTGACAATCCAAAGGCTGGATTTTCAAAAAACAAAAACAAAAACAAAAAAAGAACTAAAAGGAAAACAGTATTACCTTCTCTTATGACTGATCCCACTATGCTTATAGACATGATGAAAGGGAATTTAACAAATGTCTTCCCTGATTCTTACTAGTGAATGGATAAACATAACATACTCAGGCTTTGTTACAACCAGAGTCCTATTTCCACTGACCTTGTTTTAAGCATATGCTATAGCAAGGAATTCAACTACTCTCATTAGCTGTGTCCTGGTGAATTTTACATCCTGGTACATCTATGTATTTGGGCTTCGGAGCATTTATTCTCTCATTTTGGGCCAAGAGAAAGCTGATGACCAATCAAGAATAATCCAGGCAGATGACTAGAGCAGCCATGGCCATGTCCACACACTGCAACAAAGCCTTCAACGCAAAGTGGAAGGTTCTGGAGCCAATGGGTCACCAGTGAGCACTTGATGATGTCAAAGAGCTCATGGCCAAAGATCTCCACTTTGAAGGGATGTTCAAAAAAGAATTATAGATCTCCATTTATTGAAGCAGGGATTAGCTCTGTTGGGAACACAGTGTAGCCCTTAATCTTGTAAGATGTTTGAACTGGGCCTCTCAGAATAAAAAGGAGAACACGTGAGCTTGTGGACGTGCAGCAAGGATCATTCTTGTCTGAGCCAGGTTCCCCTTCATGTTTGAAAGTGGAGGAAATTATTGTGTTCAGGGTGACTTACAGGGAAAGAACTATTTTTAAAATGTTTAAAAATTTCCTTCTGGTTGACAATAGAAATAAAAGGCAGAGCAAGGGGAAACTCAAGCCTGTAATAATATATAAAAACTTAGCAAAAATTCAATCTTTGGAAGTAACATTGCCAATTATAATATGTACAATTAGCCTGACATCTAAGCCAAAGTAAACTCCTGTTTCTTCGGATCCAAATGCCCTATATTTTTACATCTAATTTATGTGCTGGTGTTTTAATAATTTCCTTTACAAAAGTAATAATTTTTATTAATAAAAATTTACTATGTATAAGCAAAACAAATATCTCTGTATTGTTTATTTTGAACCTACAGTATGACATAAAGAGCAAATGTATCGAAATTTCCTTCAAATAAGTTATTTTTCAGAGTGAATACTCAGTGTTAGGATACACTTAACAAACCTTCTATGTCTCTTAAAACTGTCCAGGGAAAATTGGTGACCCTACACACTGCTGGATTCTCAAATGCCTTAAAGAATGATCACCTATAGGCTAACTAATGGGATATTCTTCACATGCAGTTCAGAATACATCAAGTCAACTAAAAACTCAACAGCTCTGTACTGTAATATGGTGACTCAACTGTACTAAAGAGCCAGTTATTCTGGAAAAGAGTTTACATATCATTATAAGAAGGTGGAGAGGGCAATTGCTGGCAGATACACAGAAAAAAGTTGCCCAGGAATAATCATCTGGGTTAAATGTCCTAGGGAAGTGGCAGGGTGCCACTTCTGTATCAAGAGGTAAATGTAATTTGCATGTTGAGTACTGTAATCAAAAGTGAGTGACTCAACTCTATAAATTAAACCCCATTGTTTTTTCTTTAAAAGACAAATCAGTTTTACAGAAGTAAAAGTGAGGAGATCAGAATAAGATCTGTGGATCCAATTAATGTCAAAATCCTGGTTGTGGTATTGTACTATGGCTTTTTTTTTTTTTTTTAAGACTTTCTTTCTTTGAGAGCACACGAGCAGAGGGAGTGGTTGTATAGGGAGCCTGACATGGGGCTTAATCCCAGGACCCCAGGATTGTGACCTGAGTTTCAGAAGGGTAGATACTTAACTGACTGAGCCACCCAGGTGTCCCTGTAATATGGTTTTGCAAAATGTTACCATTGGGGGAAATGGGTAAAAGGTACAAGGGATCTATTATTTTTTTACAAGTACATATGAATCTACAATTATTTCAACAAAATTTTCAATTAAAAAATCAAATTGAGGGGCACCTGGGTGGCTCAGTCAGTTAAGCATCTGTCTTTGGCTCAGGTCATAATCTCAGGGTCCTGGGATGAAGCCCTGTGTCAGGCTCCCCACTCAGTGGGGAGTGTGCTCTCTCTTACTCTGTCTCTCAAATAAATAAAACCTTAAAAAAAAAATCAAATTGAATTCCCTAAGTATATACCCCCAAAAAATGTATATAGATATATGTACTTACATACACACACAAATGATCATAGCAGCAGCATCTGTTATAACCCTACTTGAAAACCCAATGCCTGGGGTGCAGTCAGTTACATGTCTTACTCCTGATTTTGGCTCAGGTCATGATCTCAGGGTTGTGAGATGGAGCCCCACATTGGACTACAGACTCAGCAGGGAGTCTGCTTGAAATTCTCTCCCTCTTCCTCTGCCCCTCTCCCTGCTCACATACTCTCTCTCAAATAAATAAAAATCTTTAAAAAAATTTTAAGAAAAAAGAAAACCCAATTACCATTAGCAGAGTATAAATAAAGATATAATTCTACAGTAGAATCCTAATCAGTAATGAAAAAGAACCACTGCAATATCCACAACATGAAAGAATATAAACGGCAAACAAAAGACATCAGACATAAAACATAAGCATTGGAAGTCAACAGAGCGGGTACCTCGGGATGAAGAAGAAAGCAGTGATTAGGAAAAGGCAGAAGGAAAGGTTCCAGCATGCTATAAAGTTCTAGATGGTGGTTATCCAAATGTGTTCATTTACTAGAGTGACGTCATATGACTAAATCTCAGCAATTTATAATTAGTGGGAAAATAAGTTCCAAAAT